ACTAAGGTCAGTTTTCCCTGATGCAAAATTTGTCGCATTAACAGCTACTGCAACAAAACTGATGATAAAACAAATAACAGATATTCTTCAAATGGAATCATTTACTACTATTTCTGCTTGTGTTGATAGGCCAAATGTTCAAATGTTTAATGTATAGCAAGCTAAACTGGTGTGGAAATGGGTACAACATGGTATGCCAAGAAGCAGCTAAAGAAAGTGACCCAAATGCTGTAATTCACAGAGTTTCCCAGTATCATTCAGCATGTACAGATCAGGTTTGTGTAACAGATATTTTCTATAGACTGGCTCTTGTTATTTTTTGGAGTGACTGAACAAATATTACACATCAATAAACTTCAATAAACATTTATTACAATATTTCCAAATAGATAAAAACATTTAATGTAACAATTAATTGATATATATTTTTTTTTTATTCTCCTGCATATCTTGAAAAAAACATACTCAATGCTATATATTAAACTTGAATAGTTGGTGTTATCTTTAACTTCTAAAGGTGAAGGTTTACTAGTAATAAGACATCTTAATTTTTAGAGGACCTGTGCTCACAATTAATTGTCAAACAGAAGAAAAAATTCATGTTTCTCACTATTTTTGGTTTAAATACCTATTGAAAGGACCAAATCAATAATCTTGGTTTTTTACACAAAATGTGAAAGGATTTGATGGTAAAATAGATACAATTTAATTCTAAATTAATGTAAATATGCAGGTTTCTTGAAGTTCCAAAAGTTGAATAGTTTAACAGTTATTCATATTTTTCATATAGATAAAAATAGTATTTGTATATACATATATATGAGTGTTTTAAATCAGTTTTTGTACAATATATTTTTCACGTTACATGTTGAAATTCATCACATTTAGTAAGATTTTATTTGTTAATTGCTTGTTCCAACAATATTTATTGCAAGCTTTAATAGAAGTTTAGAAGTAACAATATTATATAATTTATATCAGGTAAAATATTTATGTACAGCAACATTGATAATTCATACAAAAAATCTTTAGATAACACAATATAATATATATACAGACATAGAGTAAACCTCTAAGCTTTTAACTCCTTTTCAAAATGTGATTCTTAATCATACAATTCTTTATTTGACAGAAAACATCTTGATAAGATTATATACACTGACATGTTTGGTAACATCAATCATATAACAAACTTGGTTGTGTCAAGTTTATATAAAACTTTTATTTTTTAGATGAAAAAGATAATTGTTGATGATATGGCTTATGTAAATGGAAATATATCACTACTGTTTGCTACTGAAGCATATGGCATGGGTGCAGATGCGTCAAATATAAGAAGAAATATACATTATGGGCCACCTACTTCTATAGAAAGTAAGATTGATAATCATTATGGACCACCTACTTCTATAGGAAGTAAGATTGATAACTTACAAGCTAATAAATATTACACGTATCATTCAATTACAATGATTTAAAAGGTGCAGTATCATACATTTCTATATTTTGTATGAATTGATTATCAGACCAGCCTATGATGTCAATAGCACTCTTACTGCTTAACAGTTTTGTATATCATAGTCAGAGCTTTAACTGGAACTATTGGTTGATTAATTATTACAATAAAACTTAAATGATGTGTATCTTATCAAAATGATGACTCAGCTGAAAACAACATTAAACTTTATGTAAAACCTTCACTGACCTTAAAATGACACACACATACATATATGGGATACAAAAATTCTGTACATGGCATTAGTATCTTTTAGTTTATCTAAATATATTAAATTTTAAATAAAATACACATTATTCTATATATGTGTATGCATTTTTCATGTATACATGTTAATGCTAATACATGAATATGTGTTAGACTGCAGTCAAATTTGTAAAGGTGCTAATCAAGTTCTTGCAATTTAAATATTGTATACATAAATATTGCGTAATTGATTGCTGCGTTTATTGGGACAAACTACCCTTATATATAATCAGTTGGGGCTTATCTTTTTCCAACTCTTCAAAAGATTATTGTGCAAAGGGGAATAATTCTTGCATATATATTGATTGTCTCCCCTATTTACTTTTCTCTTCCATGTGCATGCAATAACTATTAGGTGTTCTATTGTGTTTTCTTTTATTATTTCATTGTCATTAAACAAAACTAAAATTAGGTTAAACAAACAATTTATATTATCTATACAAATTGATTACGAAATATCTTGGGCTTTACCTATTGTGACCCATCCAACATGATTCAAATAACAATATTGGTTAAGAAAAGATATTATTTAAGCATTACAAAAGCCTAAATGATCATCTAGTTTGAATTAGCTCAATTTGTCATGCCAGAACCTTTGATATATTACATTACATTGTGGAATTAGCTCATAGTATTAGTTAAGGATGTATTCTTCTCACGTTACAGTCTCATTGAAATCTCGTTCTAGAATTATTTCCAAAACATGTGATACAAGTGGAAAATATCAATGAATTTAAAAAATGTTATAATCAAACTTAACTCTGTGAAAAAATTGCGTATTTACAATGAGTAGTTTTTGAGTAATCAATTTTTCAAATTTTATTACCAATCAAGTCAGTCTTTTTAGTCAAAATTTTGAGAAAATGGGTGACAGGTACAAGAAATGATTTTACCAGAAACATATACATCCCATGTCACTTTTTCTTTTCAAATTTGTTAGATATGTATTTTTTCAATCATTTATAACAAAGAAGTTGAAATAATATGCAATTTGTTCTTAAAACAGAAAAATCACAAATTTACAAAATTGACATAATAATGGTTAATTTGACACAAAAAAGCATCAAAATATGATAAAACTTTCTTATATTAACACCTACCTATAGTTTTTTTAAGTTAAATTTATTTAGATTGGTTCACTTCAACTTTATTGAAAGTATGAAAAAAAGTTTAATTGTGGAACTGTGATTTTTTTCATGATAATAGCCCCAAAATAAGAAAAATGGAAAAATCATCAAAATTGGGTACTTTCAATGGGCCGTAGCAAAAACAGAAGTGCACCACCATATGATTTTTTCTTCATCAATTATTTTTTTACAGTCATATAAACCCAAAAATCAGGGTAAGAAAAAAAGTTTAATTCTAGAAATGTTTGGCTCCTCAGAGGTGTAATTCCTAAAAGGTCATATTGGGACTTATAGTAGCTTACATTTATGTCCTTCGGTCTATGGAGGATACTTGTCTCATTGGAATCATACCACATATCTCCTTATTTTTATTTTTCATCTATAAAGCTGGAAGATAAGACAGCAACATGGTAAATGTTTAAATACTTTTTTACTATAATTTGATAACAAATCCTGTGTCCATGATTCACTGACATAAGTTGAGCGGTTGACATAGTATCTGCATATTAATAAGATTGCTATTTACATGAACAGTATGAGATTTTTGCTCTAATTAAATGCATTTTTCTTCTAGCTTATATGCAAGAGATTGGCCGTGCTGGTCGAGATGGTCTTCAAAGTGAAGCTGTATTGTACTTTAACAACAATGACCTAGGTAGTAACACCCCAGTTAGAGATGAAGTAAAACAATTTTGTAGACTTAAATCATGCAGAAAGCAATTTCTCTGTGAACATTTTGACTGGGAATGTGTGACTTCATTGATAAAACACAATTGTTGTGATATTTGTAAGATTGACTGTAATTGTATTGATTGTTTATCAAAATCAGCATTTGATGACATTGATGTTGCTGAAGATGATATAGAAGGTACTTTGTCACAGCTTCAAAGTCTATTAGCAGCATATTTTCAACTGGAAAATGATTTAGTTGACATGCCAAAATCAGAAATTTTTACAGGTCTGTCTTCTGAACTTTAGTGTTGAGTTAAACATTGTTCATCTTATAAATCTGCTGAGGAGATATGTAGAGAATTTCCTCTCTTGAAATTTGAATATGCTTGTTATATATTCAAAATTATTTTGAATGTCAAATCTGAATGTCCTGAGGTTTAACTTCATTCTATATTGTGCTTATCAGATTCAGATTCTTTATTAAGATGACTAATATTACATTAGTGTTCTCCATTACAAATCATATAATAATATACAAAACAACATTTCAAAGTTTCACATGTAATATATATATATATATATATATATATAAAATAATACAGTTGTACCCATATTTTTAAGAATTGTTTCTTATTTCTAATGCATCTCTAATAAATTTGTATAAATAATTACATTCAGTAATATTTTGTGGATTTAAAAGTTTAGAAACTGAAAAATAATCATTACTCAAATCTTTTAAATCTAAACCATAAGATTGGAAAAAAGTTTGCCTTATATCTTTATATTTATCACAAGATATCAAAAAATGTTCTTCAGTCTCTACTTCAGTGCAAAATTTGCAAAAACGTTGTTCTCTTGGAATTTTGGGTTTATTATATCTACCCCGTTCTATATTTAAACAATGAGCACTGATAAGTAGTTGTGTAATTTTACTTTTTATATTTTTGGTAAGATTGGTTTGAAGATAGAAGGGAACAAAATTTGGAACAAAAATATTACTGAAAAGCACCAGTTTACTGTCCACAGCTCCAGATTTGATTTTTTGTAGTTGTAAGTCAGATTGCTGACTAGAGTATCTTATCAGACTATTTTTAAAAACACTATTATTGGTCAAATTTTTTGTATCAAGTTTGTATCAACAAATAGCCTTAAAATTTGCTGATAAAATTTGTTAAAATTCATATAAAAAGCACCTTTTGCATACATTTTGTCAAACAACTTCATATGCTTTTTGATATTAGATAATTCCTTAAAATTGGCCATATTTCATTTATAGTTTAATTCATACCAACCTTGTGAATTTACTTAATATATATCTGTTAAAAATAGATTTCTACAAATGTTTCAGATTTTGACATTTATTAAAATGTTTTTTTTTTTCAAATATGAAAAGAAACATGTTGTAAATTAATAATGTTTGACTAAATCAAATAATTATCAATAATTTGAAATGAGAAATAAAAAAAAAAACAATAAGTCACTAGAAAATTTGAGGCCCATTCCGAATTTAAAAAAAAATGGTAAAAATATTATATCTTCTTAAAATAACACCACTTATATTCAAAGGCTTTTCTTCTTGACATTTACTTTATGACTGAAACTTATTAGCTCCCATTGATATAGTGTATTATTTCAAAATATCTCAAAAGTTTTCTTTTTAAACAATAAGTCTACAAAATTCTGTATAATATTTGTTCAACTAGTCCATAAGCTTATAAGTGAGGGCTTCTGGTAATTTAAACTGGAAATTTACTCATTCAGTTCTCTTGCTTTGTTCATGTAGAATCAGTAAAATCTAGTATGTCAAGTCACTTACTTTTATATCATTGTTTTCAAAACATTAAGAAATTTTGTCATTTTCTTCTCATTTCCACATACTACCTTAAAGTAAACTAATTAGTATGTGACTTTAAAAATCTTCAGTTTCCAATTTCTGTTGCAAACATCTGTATCCTAGGTTCAATCCATTCACAGTAATGGCTAGTATTAAGCTGATTCACTATAGTACTAGGAATCTTTGAGAAATGTTCATGTGCCCTGCCAGCCTCAAATTTAAATGGTTTTAATTTCCTAAGGTCTTTTAAAATGATCTTTTCATCATCTGCAGCAGATTTGTCAGAATGTTTTTTGGCTCTAACAATTACCTTTGATTGTTTTTCAAAATTTTCGGCAATGTCTCGAATGGCACCCAGAGCTTTTGTTCTATTCATGATGTTGCTTTCTGTTTTATTGGAAAACATATGTTTTAAGTGATCTTTGACTTTCTTTACTAGATGTTCCATAGCTAAGTCTGCAGGGATGTGACCATTAAAGTGACCATTTGTGTTGACAAAAAGACTGTAAAATTCTTCATTTGCTTCCTTCTCAGACAGAAGAACGAGTTGATGAACAAGAAAGCGTAGTATGTCAAGTGCATACTTTGACAAATTCTTATGACTTTTGAAATAAAGCATAGCTACTTTCAAAAGCCTTATGCCTCGGGTTCGCTCTGGTAATTTTATCATATCCATAAGGTCTTTGAAAAGCAGATCAAGCTCAAGCATCATCTGTGCATAATTTTTTACATAGTCATGTTTTGGTGCTTTTGACTTTTTCATTAATGTTATTTTTCTTCCATCAGTAAGTTGTACAACAACTGGCTGTCCGTTAACTGAAAAATAAATTGCAAATGTGCTTTACCATTTCAATAAAAAGACTGATTTTTGTATGTTTTGAATTACTTTCAACACAATGAATAAGTCACAAAACAAATGTTGGGACCACAAACATTTTTTGAGGTTCCTATAATGCTATTATGTCGTCTTGCGAAGACACATTTGGTTTCCGGATAATAACTTTAGTTTAAGTGAATGGATTTAAGGGGTTCATATTTTTTTTCAAAATTTTTAGATAAGAAAGAAGAAATCTTCAATTGCACAGTATTGTAAGATCTTTGACCACATTTATTTTGTGTCATAAACCTACATATTATGTCAAAAATTTGATTACAATCCAAAATTCAGGCAGTATCAAGCTTGAATATTGTGTCCAAATTTGCCCCAACTGTTCGTGTTCAGGTTACAACCTCTGCAGTCGTATCAGGCTGCCCTCAGCAAAGCATTTTATTAGAAATTCTAATTGTACATATTTCAGACAAAAGGAAAATAATTTGATGTCTTATTCAATATAATTGTATTTCATAAGTTTTTGCATATTTTTGTAGCTTCTAAAGCTGAAGAACAATTGTCTTTAGTTTCTTTTAAAGATGTACTAATTACCGGTAGGTTAAAGTGATGAAATTTTGTCAGATGTTCAAACTTCTAGTTTTTTTTAACACCCATTTTTCTTTTCATATACATTGTGTAAGAATTCAATAGGTAACAAAAGGTCATTTACCAAAATTTAAGCAGATTCTAGTTTCAATTTTAAAATCTAGATTTTTTTTTATTCATTAATGCATTTTTCTTATCAATTCCAACTTTTGTATAATGCTGTATTTTGATTGGCTGAAAGGTAACATGCTATTTCTATGTACTGAGATTTTCTTTTCTCTGCTAGTGTATTTGTCATTAGTGATTTCCCTGTGCTGGGGTATTTGCTAGCCAATACCATGGCAGATGGGGAATACCATAACCCAATAAATTATTTCTATTATTATAAGACAAATTTATTGTTATTCTTTGTATAAATATACTGCAACTCTTACAACTATTCCTGATGAAATATTCACAATAGGATGAAAACCATCATTATTGAATTTGGAGCGAATGGCAAAACTCAACGGAAAGGCATTATCAACGTCATACTTAAATAGAGATACAGTCAGTGCATTTGCATCAGATATGATTATACGGCCAATGCAATTTGACTGCAAATAGCACAGCTACAGTATATCAAAAATTATACAGTCAAGCAAATACTCCATATGATACCTGATTATTTCTGAGGTCAAAATGGATACAAAGAACTTTCGGTGGAAATAAACAATTACATCATGCTTACAAAGGGTATTTGCCAAAAATACCAGTTATGAGGTAAACAAATGCCTAATGGCTCTGGAAATTTGTTTACTTCTCAACTGGTATTTTTTGGCAAACACCCCTTGTAAGCATGATATATTTGTTTATAAATCAATTATTAACTAAAAAAAATACCTTTTATCGCCTCTTCTGTCCAGCACTCATTTGTACTGCTGTTAGATAAAACATACTGAGAAACTACATCTCCAATTGTCTCAAAGAACCATTGTCGCTTTTCTTCAAAGTTATCAAAGGAAGGTGGTACATGTGCAGTAGGCTCAGATGAAACTGATTCCATTCCAAAATAATGCAGTATGCATTCAACAATATGCATATCAACTACAGAAATGAAAAAGTCTTTATCTGCATCATACTTGTTCTTCACATCCTCTCCCACATTAGATCTTGAAATCCTATCCTAGAAAGACTTCAAAGTTCCCAATTCTGCCCAACTTTCCTTTGAATATAGCATCTTAAATGTCATAGTTAAAAAGTTCATCAATAAGTGAAATAATTCAAAGGTTATTGGGGAAAGATGACTGAATTTATCTTTTGGGTCTACATGGTGAGCTCTTAAATTGTTTGCCCCAGAAAAGCGTTCTCTGGTCAGTAAATCTCCCCCAATGTGAATCTTACATCATCCATATTTTTTCCAACACTTGAACATACATTTTAATTCAACAACCTTTTCGTAGTAAATCAAGTATGCCAACTACATCTTGATAGCGCTGTTCATTTTTGTGCAATACAGTAAGCGGAATAACTCTGGATTTTTGTTTTAACTTATCTAATATTGGAGAACTAATTTCATTCGGAATAACATCTTTAAATTGTCTGAAGAAAGGAATGTGATTTTGTAGCACGCGAGCAATCAATATGGTGTAGTCATACTTGATATCATGAATATCATTGGGATTAGGTATATAATCCCTGAATTCATTAACCTGCATAGTGCAATGAAATGGTGACGGCATATGTAAATAAGAAAAATCAGTATCCTGTACAATTACTGCAGATGCAAAAGCATGTTCCATATGTGACTTATTATAGATTCTTTCGTCATGTACAGATGTTTTCCAATTTACATTATCTCAAATTATTCTAAATCTTTTTAATTGAAGATTGTCTATGAGGTGGTGGTTGAAACTACCACCAATAAGATCTACAACTGTCAGTGTTCTGCCATAGCATAAACATGCTCCCAAAGGCTGCAATCGATCATAAACCTAAAAATGAACCAAGTTGAACTGTGAGTTATTCATGACTCACAAAATATACGTATCCCACTATAAATATTTGGAAATCATCAAGTTGATGAACAATGAATGTGAAAACCAATCTAAAGATTAACATTCTCACATTTAGTTGATTCCAAATTTCCAAATTTCAGAAGGCTTAATAGTTTAATTCTGAGAAAAAATGAGACAAAAAATTTCATATATAAGGGTCTGGAATCCCTCTGGATGGAGTTTATATTATAGAATAGAGAATATTGGATCAAAAGATTAAAGAATCGAGAAAAATGGCTTTGAAAATTAAGGAACATAATAATAAACTACAGATATGGTTGAACTATATATTATAAAGGGGTATAAGTCAAGAACAACAAATCCATATTGCTGAACTAGTATTCATTGTTGTTAAAGTCATATGAAACGAGTGACTGGTGAATAATAATGTTTATCCAATTCTTGAACCAATGCATGTATATAACCAAGGCCGTAACTACATTGAGGCAAATGCCTCATGTTGGAAATTCCCAAAAAGAAAAATAATAAGTTGAAACAAAAGCTTGTCTTTATTTAAGAATTGAATACTTCTTTTTGTAATTTTATTGGGGTGTAAAAGTGTTGACCGAAGCACATTTTGTATGTGCGCACGATGAACACTTTTACAACCCTATAAAATTACTAAAAGAAGCATTCAATTCTTATAATTACATTTTTATGCTAGGGTCATGAAAAATCAATTTCTATCATTTATTTTTTTAATTAACCTGTGCACTTTATTGTGATGGCACGTGTCATCATGAATGTTACACTTCATTGGAATATGAAGGTTAATTTTAGTATGACGCGCAAGCGTTGTTATCCAATCAAAATAACGGATTCTTCTGAAACATACATGTAATATATTTATATCAAATTGTTTTCATGGGGATTGTCTTCCAAGAAGCAAGTTCGGTTCAACCTCTGACGTCACCCCTGTTTTTTCGGGATCCATATGTCTCTCATTTATTTTTAGTTTTCATTGTTGATTGTCTATTGTTTGTCGTTGTGTGTCTTATATCTGTTCCCAGGGTTGTCTTTTGTTCATTTCATTTGTAAATTAGTAATTTTGTTTCAAACTTGAGTTTTATTATATTTAATGACCTTTTGTCTAATTTTAAAAACTATAAATTGTAAAAATATTTGAAATAAGCTCTCGCCTTTTTGTTCCGAGGCGGCGTTACGCAAACACCAATCAATCAATCGATCTTTATGACTATGGCTTCAGTTGTCTAATATTCCTTGTTGTGAACGTTATTTCTCTGCTTTGCGTAGACTTAAGACTTGGGAAAGATCTACGATGACAAGTGAACGGTCATGTGTGGTTTGGCAATGTTACATGCCCACCGGTGTCCAGATATTGTTCGAGAAAATGTTTTGAGAAGATACGATGCTACCGGACATAGAAAAAATTGTCGTTTTTCATGGAAAATTAAAAAATACAAAACTGGCTCTCTTTTCTGTAAATAAAATTAAAAAGCTAACATGGGTTAAATTAAAGTGAGACAACCTAATCTCCCGGAATCAAATCTTTTAAAAAGAAAATAATGTATTGCCATATGACCTATTACATTGGAGGACTAAACTTGCATTGAGCCGTGTTCAGGCCCTAAAATAGAAAATAAAGGGATATGGAGTAAATGCGCATGGGAAAAATCGCACACAATACATAGAAAAAATAAAAATTATCAATGAACAGGGTTTTTATTCACGTTCTTCATCTTGAGAGTCGCTGGAGAGTCTTCAACAATGAACGAATCATTCATACTCTATACAACAAGGTCAAGACGACCCCTAGCGTCGACATAAGCGGTACTTAAAGTATTGTACTGTGAATAAATTTTAAAGTCCACAAAAATATTACACCAAAGTCTAAACACAATAGAACCAGAACAGACAGATCCTATATTAATCATCCGGTTAACATATCAAAACTGCACAAAAATGTAGCAATGAGGTCTAAGAACTGAGTCTACCCTGAGTGTACCTTTTTATCCCAGTTAGGAACTACATCAACTTGTAATTGAAATATGTTATAAAAACTGAATTCACATAGTTATATCAATGATAATCAGCCCCTCTTAACTTAATTTGAAAAGAACGTAATTGACAGGTATAATACGTTTTTCTGCAAGCCAAAACTCAATAACAAACAAAAAAAAACAGCAGCCACACACTTGACTATGTGAATTACGAATTTTGCTTTATCCTACATATCGGTCTTTTGATGTTGTCCCTAAAAACTAAAAAGTCTTACACTGAATCTATATATTTTGCTTTCAGGCCAGTATATTGTCGAAAAAATAATTAAACAAAACTTGCGTTTTAGTTTAAGAAAGAGTCCGGGAAACGCTCAGAATGCACGATTTTGCGTCATTTTTTCCAGAGCTTCCCAGACCCCTCGCTGAAACATTTTTCGCTTCGCTCCGCTCGGCGAATATATTTTGCCTCACTTTTAAAAGAGGCTAGTTACGGCCCTATAACATAAACTTAGTCTTCTGTGTACGATTTTATCTTTTTATACGCAAACATAGCGTATAATCGTCAATTTATTTTTCTCTCTGTCTGTTATGATGTGAAAATATGGCAGCTGATTAATTGTCGTGTTTTGAAGGCGTTGTTGACCGATTGTCACCTTTATAGTAACAATCAACGTATTAATTGCGATCACCGGATTTTTACTAGAAGGGTCACGCTAAGGTCACTTGCAGACGGAAAATTTGTCGGCGAATTTCTTCTTGGAAGCAAGCAATTAAAAAAAAGTAAACTTCTTGTAAATGTGGACAAATCAAAGAATTTTCTTCAGAAAAAAATATATGTACATAAGTTTTATATTGAAAACTATCCATTTAGTTATAAAAAACATATGCATCATTTTTTTTTTAATTTGAGGTTTCATATGACTCTGTGTCCAGGATTTTCTTGGTGCATTGAAGATCTTTTGGTGACATTGGACTGTTTACTGCTCTTTGGTCAGGGTTATTGTCTCTTTGATACATTCCCCGTCTCCATTCTCTATTAAATGTAATGCAAATATATTCATTTCTGAGTGCTATATTTTGACTGTGCAAATACAAGTTTCAGTCTATATACTTAGAGCTCATTTTTTGTATATATTTTGATTGTTCAAAAAAGGACAATTTCTGTTTATATACTTAAAACCAACTTTTTATGTATATTTTGACTGTGCAAAAAGAACAGTGGAAGTCTATATACTTTTTTATACCTTCTGATCACAAATGTTATTCATCAATAACATTGACACCATTCTCTGTACACGGCTCAATTCTATATTTCTGGATTGCATTAAAATGGCATAAACAAATGCAGCTTTCGGTATAACCCGTTCAATTTTGGTATAGCAGGATCGTTGTTGAGGCGGAAGCATGGTTGAGAAGAGCAATGTACAAAGTACTGGTAATTTTTCCATCATTTCTTTGATTATACTAGACCATTCTAGAGATTTTAAACTATTGACATCTTTTTTCATCAGTTCGCATACAAAAAGCAATATTTTCTGTTTCCCATAGTAGAAATTGATGAGTCTATTTCTAAACATAGTTCAGAAATAACTCCATTTCTAAAGTTATCTATCTTCAATAGTGCGCACCATATATATTCTTTTCATTGTCATTTTGAATCACATTGATAATAAGATGGATTTCTCTTCCTGGTTTAAATAGTTGTTATTTCTACTGGATGTAAAATTGAGAATGGAAATGGGGAATGTGTCAAAGAGACAACAACCCGACCATAGAACAGACAACAGCAGAAGGTCACCAACAGGTCTTCAATGCAGCGAGAAATTCCCGCACCCGGAGGCGTCCTTCAGCTGGCCCCTAAACAAATATATTATAGTATTCTTTAAGAATGTTGTAACGTCTGGTAGAACTGGACTATACAGTGTATTTCTGTTCATGAACACATAGTCATGGTCAGAAGCAATACATGCACTTACATTATTTTGGGGTTGTGCCAAAATTGGTGTAATGGTTTCTCCAGCATAACTATGGTCAGGAATTCCTGAAATGAATACAAATGCTTATATTTAACATTTTGATTATTACAGAGGAAAGAAATAAACCCTGAGAACAGAACCTTTTGACCACAAAAATAATATTGTTTGAGAAAGTATATACAATGTATAACAAACTATTTCATCATTTTATACTAAAAAGATATTTAAAAAAAGAAGCTCAAATACATGTATCATGTGTAACATCAAAATGCATAAATCAGGATTATCTCCCATGTAAATGTGCAATTAAAGTTTTATGTTGCTTATCTCCCTTTCTGTTATGTTTCATATTCTGTTTCTCATTTTGCAAAAGGAAATGGTTTGCTTTAAAATTACATTTATTGCCTGGATACATACAAATATGTTTTCAACTAAACATTTCTTTGCATTAATAATCTAAAAGGATAAACTT